AAGTTGAGTGTAAATCATACATAAAAGACACTCAACACTTATTAATGTCTTCAATGATTTGGTTTTCCATGAACTTCACATCACGACTTCTAATAAGCTTCTTCTTAAAAGGACCATAGAATCTATAACCAAATTCATCCTCACCATAGCCAATGAAGATACATTGTCTCATTTTTACATCTAACTTGGATCTCTCATCCTTTGGAACATGCACAAATGCCTTGCAACCAAAAACTCTTAAGTGATCATACTTGACATTCTTGTTAAACCAAGTTTTGTTTGGCACCTCACTATTTAAAGCAACAATAGGACTAAGTTGATAATATGCATTATTCTATATAATGCTTCACCCAAAAAATGCTTGGGAAGCTTAGCCCCAGAGATCATACATCTCACTCTCTCAATCAATGTCTTGTTCATCATCATCTCTGTTAAACCATTTAGTTGAGGAGTTTTAAGAGGTGTTTTCTCATGTGCAATACCATGTTGCATATAGTAAACATCACAATACTCACCATCATTGTTGGTACGAATGCACTTCAACTTCTTGCCTGATTGCCTCTCAACTAAGGCATGAAACTCTTTGAACTTCTCCAACACTTATTCTTTTGTCTTCAAAGCATAAATCCATGGTTTTTTGGAATAGTCCTTAATAAAGGTCACAAAATAAAGTGCACTGCCAAAAACTTTTACCTTAAAATGACCACAAACATCTAAATGCACAACTCAAATTTCCTATAAGGAGGATGCTTTTTGAAGGATACTTTGGTTTGCTTACCAACCATGCAACGACAATGTTTCTCTAACTTTGCATTCTTCAATCCTTGAAGCACATCCTTTTTTGCTAAAAAATTCAATCTCTTCTCACTGATATGACTGTTAAGTCTCAATTTTACCTCTTTTTGGATGAGACTTATTGAACGAATTCCAATCATCCTCTGAACCATTGCAATATAATTGTTCTCTTTTTGGTTCATTTTGTGTGCAGATATAACTAACCCAAATTTAGCTAACAATACCTTAATACACCTATTTTTGTGCAGGCATTGAGCTAGGGACTTGAGGATTGAAGATCCATAGGATTGGAAACTAAAGAGGCTAAGGAGCAGAGAAGAAATTGCGCCAGGCGCAAGATGACTCGCGCCGGGCTTGGTAAGAACAGACCCTGGAAGCCATGGCACCGGGCGAGAGAATACACGTGCCGGGCGTGGTCGAAATAGAGAGTGTTTGAAACTCTCTGGAAGACATCGCGCCGGGCGTAAAAGGGAATTGCGCCGGGCTTACAATGAGGCAGAAAGTGCACAGAAGAGTACGCGCCGGGCGCAAAGACTTACATGCTGGGCGTGAAAACCTAATCTGATCTCCCTGGCCCGTATTTGAAGCCATTTTCGGGGGAGAAACCCCCATTCTCACATTGGGCGCCTCCAGGAGCTGCGGAAGGGATTCCCAGGGCTTGGGATCGTCCGTGTGCGGATCTTTCCTTCGGTTCTTCACTTCCTCTTCCATCTCTATTTTGTATTTGCCCTCATTGTTATGAGTGGTTTCACCCATTTTGTGGGGTTAGATGTAACCAACGTACTCTATTGTAATCTTTACGGTTTTAATGATATATATACATGTTGTTTTATTCTTTGTTGTGTTTGTTTCTATTCTTAATGCTTGCTTTGGATTGATCACCCTTTGCATGATTTAAGGTTCCATGGGTATTGGAAAATAACCTTTGAAACTAGTTCTGAAACATATGCCTAGTGGTGATTGTATCTAGGGATAGAGCTTGACCCATTAGTAGTCTTAAACCCTAGCCCGTAATGCGGGTGTAGATATTGGGTACTCAAGGGATTGATATTCAATATCCGCACCTAGGCTCTTTCTCTAAGGGATTAGGTTTGAGTAAACTCTTGGGTTGACTAAGCAATGAATTCAACAAGAGATTAAGGATACATTAGTGTTACGTTTGGTGAAATCTGACCCCCACAACCTCACAATACCACAATACCATTCCTTACCTTTTCCACTCACAAAACAATATTTATTTACAGCTTTCATTCCAATAGTCACAACTTTGAATTCACTGCACAAACTATGAAATTGGAATTATTCTTTAGTCACGAATAGTCAATAAATGCTTATATTACCTTCTAATCCCTGTGGATACGATATTTTTACTACTTGAACGGCCGGTATACTTGCCGTGTTTGAGACCGTTGATAGAATTAAACGAATTTACAAATATTAACAAAAGTGTTTCAACGAAAATCTCAACAATGACCAAGCTTTCAGTGCCACAAAGATGCCTCCATATAGATGACATTCACACTATCTTTTAGCAACCAAAGATTTTATCTAGAAAAGCTTAGAGTTTTTCTCCCCTTTGGTTACAATCAAGTTACCTTTTGTGAGTTTTCACTTTTTAAAACCAAAGTGATTATTATAACTACCATCATTAAGCACCTCACATAAATCAAATTAAAACACACATCTGAAACATGTTTAACTCCTCTAAGCAACAATTGCATCCCCATGTCGATTTTCAAGCAAACATCACCAACACTAGACACCTTAAACTCATTATCATTATCGACCTTCAATACTCCAAAATCACCAGGAGTATAAGATGTGAAGAACTCCTTCTTGATTGTAACATGCAGTATAACACTACTATCTATTATCCACATACTCTCATCGAATACAAGATTAATTGCATTAAGATCATGGAGAAGAACAAGATCCTCATTGATAATAGTAGTAACACAATCACTATCATCATAATCTCCCAATACTTACCCTTTTGACGAATTTAAATTTTAATGTATTTAAAAAAATACAAACTCGATTCAATGCTATATATTTTTTTAAAAGTACATTTTAAATCTTCTTACTTTCTTTATATACAAAATATAGATGCATTTTATGTTTTTAAAACATTAAATAATTTAATCTTTCATTTATTAATAGTTTATTTTTAAAGTAGTGAAATGTTTAAAGAGATTTGAATATAGTAAAAAGAGTTAGTCTCCCACAATATTTAATGTCCAATCATATTTAAAACAAATTACTTTTGAAAGAGAAAATCTCACCAAAAGTAACAATCCATTAATATGATAATATTCCTAACAAACATCTATATCCTTCAACATTATAGTTGTTTTCCTGGAAGGAAAAAAAATGTTATAACTATAACCAATTAAAATCATTTTTACCGTAGATAATTAAGTTGTCTCACATTTTATGTTATCCTTATAATGTTTTCTATGTTGATATTGATAATCAAATATGATATTGCAATATATTAGATAACACAATTATAGTTTTAAAAACTGGACCGGTCATCAAATTGGTTAAGGTATTGGGTCATTGGGTTAAAAGTTGAACCGGTGGGTCACTAATTGAATCGCATGACTCGATTTTTATTATTTTTTTAAAAAAATATTCATGTTAAATATATTTTATACTTATAAATTTTAATAAATTTATCTTATTTTGAATTTCAATTTTTCTATTTTATTTAGAATTATTTTTATTTTTATTTTGTAAAAAAACACATAAAAAAATTACATGTTAAACTGTATATTAATACAAATTAAAAATATAAATAATATGTACATATATAATATGCTTGCAATTGATATCACAAAATAATATATGCAATATCTACATAGGTATTATATTATTAAATATATAATTTAAAATTAATATTATACTATAAAAGTTATTTAAGTTGTATATATTAAAACAAATACATTAGAACAATTAGTCATTGTTATATTTAATAAGACTCTTTGCTCTTCCATTAAGAGATTCAATTTTCATTATTATTTTTGTGGTTTATAGTCCCTTAAAAAAATTATAAAAAAAAAGTGTGGTTGAATCGGTTTGACCTACCGGTTCACCGGTTGAACCAAAAAATTGACCAGTTCAATCCAGTTTAAAACGGGTCGACTGCATAACCGATCTAACTTAAGATTCAGACCGATTAGACTACTAATTCCTGGTCCAACCGGTCCGACTGGCCGGTTCGATTCGATTTTTAAAACACTGAACACAATTATATTTTACAGCATTGCTTCATATACCTCCCTTCACTTGCCCCTGCTCCGTCACACAATGCAACCACTTGATTACTTTTGTCTTTAATTTTTCTTTCTTAATTCATTTTTACCCTATTTCTATAGTATATGTCATTTATTTAACCATTCAACGTGAAAGCTTTAGTTTTTCGGAAAAAAAATATTATTATGGATATATTAGAGTTTTGCTATCACTTCATTTAGTGACTTATTGCGTGCCCTCAAAGAATCACTTATGATTGTGAACTCATACTTAATTTATCGTATATCATTTCACAAATAGGTTTGATGGAGCCTCGCCAATTCATCCAATGGATTCCATCATGCTATATCATTTATTTTAAATTCTATAATAAATAAATAATTTACATTATTCATTTTAAATTTTATATGTAAAATATACCATAATTATAGTTTTATATCTATTTAATTCTTCGTTTTTGTCATATATAATGTTAAGATTGATTATATTATATTGATAAATCAAATTAATTTAGTCCTATTTAATGTATTATTGAATTTTATTCTGAACGAATTTAAATTTAAATAAATAAATAACCACATCAAAACTTGGAACGTAAATTCATTCGAAATATTATTATGGCATCCGTAATTGCAAAATGTTAAAAATAATCATCATTATTATCTGTACGTTTAGAAAAACGAGGAAAACGGTGTCCCTATATATACATATTCGGGTAATTTTGAACATGAAAACTGCAAAATATACTCATAACCATTTTCCCGCCAAAATCAGAAAATCGCGATTCCAGAATCTTCCGCGTCACTCCGCCGCCGCCGAAAGCCGTCGAAATGGTAACCCCCTCCCTCTCTCTGTCTGAATTCATTTTGTTATTTTCGATCACTTTGCAACGGTTTAATTTTGTTGCTTAATCATGTTTTTATCACAAGTTAGCACCGTATAGTGCGAATTGCTAGCTAGGTTCAATTAACTGACATTGTTTTTTCACATAGATGAAATTGCTTGATTATTATGTCATGGATTAATAAAAATTAAGAATTGTGATTGTTTCAAAAACCTAAACCGGGCATTTAACGGGTGCCAAATTGGTCTATGGCATTCTGAAAATCGTATTTAGGAACTCAGCTCTCTCCGTGTTTGTGAAATTGCCGTGAATCGCAATTTGGCTGATTTTCTTTGTTTGGTACAGTCGAAGAAAAGGGGTCTCTCATTGGAAGAGAAGCGTGAGAAGATGCTTCAAATCTTTTACGAGTCCCAAGATTTCTACCTGGTAACCACCAACATTTACCATTTGGTTATTACATAGAAGATGTGTACTTTCTTTTTCTTTTTTTAATCATGTAATTTGTTGACTCAGTTATATTCTTCTATCTTTGTATTTTGTTGTTATTTCAGCTTAAGGAACTCGAGAAGATGGGTCCCAGGAAGGGTGTCATTGCTCAGTCAGTGAAAGATGTTGTCCAAAGTTTAGTGGATGATGACCTCGTTTCCAAAGATAAGATTGGAACTTCTGTAAGTTTACATCCAATATTGATGCTCCTTCCAATTCTGGTGTTAGCATTAGAAAACTATCGAAGATATATAGCGCAGATTTTTCTTGCTGTGTTTCTGCCTCTAATTTATTTGAGCAAATTACAGTAACTTTCCGTGAGTTTTCTTGAAATTGAACAACTTTTTGCTTTTTTAATGTTTACAGCAATGTCTTTAAAACGGTATACAGTGTTGATGTGTTTATTGAATAACAGAGAAATCAGTGTAATGTATAGGCGTGTGAATTGGTATCAAGTTTTTGAAACAATTAAGGGAATTTTGTGTAAGGGCAAAGAAAGAGCGGTATCAAGGGGATTTGATGAAACTTCATAAGGTATTAGTATAATTTATTTAATTTACTAATGATCCTACCTTTGCCTCTCAGGTGTACTTCTGGAGTCTACCTAGCTGTGCTGGTAATCAGGTGAAATTCTATTGATAAAGCTGCACTGTGCTGTCATACCATCTTTATGTCGATAAATTGCTCACTACCTGTAAAGGATAATAACACTAGTAACAGAAATATAATAGCTCATTGATAACTTGCTAGCTGTTGAGCACTTGAGCTAGTAATATTTCTATTATTAGTGCTGTCATTTACACTATCCTTACCTTCTACAGTACCTTGATCTTGATGTAAACTAATTATGACATTATAAATTCAAGCACAGCTCAGAAATGTGTACCGCAAATTCGATTCTGATCTACAAAGCAGTAAGAAGCGACATGCCGAACTTGTTGACCAATGCGAGGAGTTAAAGAAGGGGCGAGAGGAATCTGTAAGTTATAACCTCTCTCTGGCTAGATTCCTGTTCCCTCTGCTTCTGTATTATTATGATGTCCGGCATCATATATCCTCAAATGGCGTTTTCATCAGAATGAAAGAGAGGAGGCCGTTGCAGATCTAAAAGCCATTGAGCAAAAGCATAATGAATTGAAGGTTGGCTTATGGATATTTTAGTAATGCATCAAGTATGATTAGTATTACGTCAGTTCTGCAATAGTCAAATAATATTTTTCATTTCAGGATGAGTTGGCAAAGTATAGAGACAACGATCCTTCCGCCTTTGAAGCAATGAGTTAAGAAATGCTTACTTATTTATTTTTATCTATACCAGACTTCAACGTTTTGGAAGGTTAATCTTTATAACATAATATAGTTTGGGAGTTGGGACACTGATGTTTTGGTATTAATATTGGCAGAGGAAGCAATAGCTGTTGCCCATGCATCGGCAAACAGATGGACAGGTACTACTTTCTGTGCTTTCTTTCTCCTTTTCTTTTCCCTGGATGGAGTTGTATTGTATCTAATAGGGAGAAATGGAGTGTCTCGTGTTGTGAAATGTCACATTTCACACTAATACTATGATACATGTTAAGTTTTCGGGATTTAAGAAGGGAAGGAATATATACATGTTAGTTGTGAGACTTGTATAGAGGTTATACTTATTTACAATCCTAAGGTTACACAACCGTCAATACAGGAAATAGGAAAAGACAGTTAATTACAAATAATGTTGCGAACAATATTTATAGTCTCTATTTTTTACCAAACAAATGTGCAGACAACATTTTCACCTTGAGGCAATGGTGTTCGAACAATTTCCCTCAGGCTAAGGAACAGCTTGAAAACCTGTACAAGGAGGTCAGTCATTTCAGTTTAATGCCTCAATCTGCAAAGCAATGTGTTAAACTCAGCTAATTGTCAGGGCTCCTTTTGGCTGTGAAATAGTTACTTGAATTTGAAATGATATAACAACTAAGCTAAGCACCATATTAGTATGATCACCACTTCAAACATTCTTTATTGCATCTTCTCAGCCTTACTTGGTGTCATTAAATTTGTCTATCCCCATCTCTTTGTTTCTTATATGTTTTGCACCTTTTGTCCCCATGCAGGTTGGAATAACAGATGATTTTGACTATTTGGAATTAGCACCTGTCCCACTCAACGCAGTTGCTAATTGATTACTCAGCAGCCTACATGAAGGCCAGCTGCTGGCTGTCGTGCTTCTCTCAAACACTGATAGTTAAAATGCAAAGTTGAGCATTGTCAATGACATCTTCAGAAATGGCTTGTTATTTTCTTTTCCTCTTGCTGTATAATTTGATGATGAAGTTTAAGAAGCTTTTTTACTTCTTGTGGCAATAATATATTAAAGATTATTATATTCTGCTTCTATTTGGTCCCCATCTTGACTTCGGTTGATATTACTCGCTTTAAGGAGGCTCTGCACTCCTCAGTGTGATCTATTGATGCTTTCTTTCTTACATTTATTTTCATGGTTAGAAAATTAAAGTGACTTTTTTTGGTTTAGGGCCTGAGAACTCCTGTATCAGAATATTTAAAATTAACGACATATCATAATTTAAATTGTTTATTATAAATTTAAAATATAATTTACATATGATAGATTTTAATTATGTTAAATAAAAATTTATCTTGTAATGGGGCCATAAAATAACCACTTTTTAATTTTTAAATAATTAAATTTCTCTTTATCGTAAAAATATAAAATATATAATATTATATTAAGAAAAAGTAATGGAGTAAAATGATAATTCTTTTAATTAACATAAAAATGTTTTTCATATATTTTATTAAGCTTAAATATATTTTTTTCTCTTAAATATTGTGTGATTTTGATTTCTCAAATTTTAATTGAGTAATTTTAATCTTTTAAAAATTACAAATATGCAATTTTGATATTTTAAATTCTAATCAAGCAATCTTATTTCTTCAATTAGTATAATTGTGTAATTTTAGTCGTTCAAGTATTTTAATTATATAATTTTTGTCTTATTTAAGTCACATTATTAACTTTTGTAATAAAAAATATATATCATATAATATATAAATGAAAATTATAGTATATATAACTTAAAAAGGTCAAAAATTGTATAATAAAAATAATTAAGAGATTAAAATTATACAATTACAAATATTTAAAAAATTAAAATTATTCAATTTATATTTGAGGGCCTAAAATTATACAATTATGATATTTGGTAAATTAAAATTACTCAATTAAAATCTTTAGACTAAAATCGTATAATTATAATATTTAATATATAAAAATATAATTAAAAAATAAATCAATTGTATCTTTTTCACTGGTCTATAAAGAGAAATTTTTTCATTCTATTCTATCGTCTCTTTTCATGTTTAGAGCAGTACTACGAATTCACTACTCACAATAATGGATGTGTTCCAGCTCATAGGCCAACCAAATTCTTATTCCTTTTACTCTGCTGCTGTAGCATGTTTGAGATATACATTGATTAAACTGACCACGTTAAAAACTGGATCACACAAAATATAGGATAGTCAAATGCATTAACATTTGATACACATATAATGGAAAGGCATAAATAAAATAAATGAGTTTTAATTTTAGTTATTGTAATTTTTTTTCATCTTTCTAAAATTTGCAAATATTGTTTGTCTGAATAAAATATTTTTTGTCCTTGTAAAAAAGTAAATTTTAGTTTTGATCTTGTAAAATATTTTTCTTTAATTTTTATTTCTCTCAAATATAAAATTATTATTTTTAGTACTTGAGAATAATTTTAAAGTATATAAATAACATTTGTTTAAATGACCTATGATTTTTTTAGAAGTATTACTCACTATTGTGATATCATCAATAGTTGTAGATAATATCTAATTTAAACCTTTAATGAACAAATAAGTAGTTAAAATATAATTATATAATAATTAATACTAAAAATAATAGTTTAAATTTTAGAAAAATAAAAAATAAAGAAATTTTTTTAAAAGAGATTACGATCAAAACTTATTTATTTTACATAAACATAAATATATTTAAACATAATAAAAATAAAGATTTGAATTAATCCAAGATAAAAGTATAGTTAGTAAGTTGGAAGGACTTTTATGTTCAAATTTTTATCCACATCCTATAGTCTGTTCGATAATTTCACAGATAAGCGAGCTATGTTAAACTGGACCACACAAAATAAAACAGTACCAAATGCATCGATATTTGATACAAATAATGGAAAAGGGGTTTGAACTTTGAACTAATCCAAGATAAAAACAAAGTAGTAAGTTTTGAAGGTCTTTTTAAGTTCAATTATTCTCCACCTTTTATATACTAATATACATCATTTGGTCTGTTCAACAATTTGTGAGCAGGACAGAAGCAGAATTCTTCACGTAATAGTGAATACAATCCTTCTTCATTGAAGCCATTTCTCATCATGCACAAAGATGCCTGCAAAATTCTGACAAGTTATCCTAGGCAATTCTTTTCAAGAAGCTTGACAAACTGAAAAATGTTAGAAACACTCTTTTAATTTTTTAAGTCTCAGACTCTTAATTTTGTGAATGAATTTTAATCAATAAAAAAGGGTGTGTTAAGAGGAACGTGTAACAAAGTAATGCATTGATATCAATACAAATTGGTAGTGTTACAGCTGAGAAAACAGACCTACTCAAAATGCCATCTCAGCTTCCAAGGCTGCCAATTCATCATTTTCTTCAGGAGTAGGCTTTGCAGGAGCTGTGACAGTAGGTTGCCGCCAAGCTGGGACCTGCACTGGAGCTGCAGGAGCTGTAGTTGCTGGCCGAAGAAGCTGTTCTTCTAACTCAGCACCCTCCAGTTCTTCAAGTTCTGCTTCCAATTCATCCTGAAAGGAAAAGAAATTCAGAATGATTCACATACATGCATTGGTTCTCTACAACACTAATACAATACAACATTTCGAAGATACAACATCTTGTTTTTTATAACAATATTATTAGTACGAAATATTTATTACTTATTTTATTAATGACAAATTTTTGTCGGAATATTTGATTAACCATCTTCCAATCACATTTTTTTTCATTTACAAAACTGAAATTCAAGAACTTACTCGAGAAAATCGAATCGCATACCACTTACATCAATCACTTGTTATCATACATACTATTTGCAACCAATATATCAAACATAAAAAAAAAAAAAACATTTGAGAATATGACCTCATCAAAATAAGCAGTTGAACCAATTGGAGCTGACAATGCTTCCTGAATTTGTCTCATGTTCTCAGTCTGTTCATTGATCTCATTCATGGTCTTGTCAACATCATCAATATTCCTGAAACAAAGGATGCACCTCAACAATACCATAAATTGTAAGTTGGATAAACATTATGAACATTGAGACCTAAGAAATACATAAAACGCCAAAAGAGTTAAATCACTAGATATTTAAAACACAAATAGAACTCCACTACATACGTTTCCTTTTGCATTGCCTTCATAGTAGCTGCTCCAGTTCTCAATGCATCTATCGTGTCTGTGGTGACTGTAGCACCCTCCAACATTATCATCTGTAACACAAATTAACAGCATAAGATACAAAAGAAGCTCAATCAACTAAATCACTTTTGAGAATACAAGGGGTTAAACAACACGAGTGAGTCACAGAAGCCAATGACAAGTGAAATCGACACCATGTCTTAACCCAAAATAATATGGATGGATCATCCTCCCTTATATGCTACTATGGATACAAAACTCTATTCAATGTAAAACTACTTATTTACATCAACAATCACATTTTGAAATGTATTTAATTATAGAATTGCTTTCACACCTGGTCATGAATACGCAACTGGAAATTTAGAAGCTGCTGGATTTGCTGGTCATATAACCTCTTTCTCATCAGACATTGTGTTGCCCCTGCATGCAACAAAAATTCAAATCACATATCACAATATAAGTAAAGGGAGAGAAAAGAAAGGGCACTCCGAAGAAATTCTCTAAAACAAGTACCTCTTTTGTTCTTTACCCTGATGAATGTTTTGGCCTTTTCCTCTTCCGCATTCCGCTTTCTAAGGAGAAATTCCTCCTTTTTCTCCAGCATCTCAAGCGTCTACGTGATCCAAACAACAAAACAAAACATTCAATTTGAGAAATTCTTTCTCTCAAACTTTGAGCACGTCTATGTATTCACATGCATGATGCAGTAATATTTTAAATAAAAAGACATAAAAACACAAACCAATAAACTAAAAGTAAAAGTGTGTAACTGGGGTATGGTTCATATATAAAAGAAGTGTACTGCAAGCAAAATATAACAACGTTAGCATCAAAATAAAAATAAACTATGGATGAGACGAATTGAATTACCTTGTTTAACTTGTCCAATGTGACAACAGCATTGGTTTCTTGTTTAGGTTTAGCAAATGATAGTATCCTGTTAAACATGTTTCGATCAGTTGAAACCCTATCTATCTGCGAAAGGTTGAGCAAAGCAGAAATAAAGCCAGTGACTTTGGCTTTGGTTAAGTTTAGGTTTCAGGGTTTAGTGAGTGTTGTGTATTGTTTTGGTGTTTCTGTTTCTTTTCGTGTCCCGAATGGTCTTCAGTTCAGAGACAGTTATATTCATCCATACTTAACCTAATCTTTTGTTAAGGTTTATACTCTATCTTCCTATTAATCCTCCGATAAATCCTCTCATAATAAAGAAAATATTAAATATAAATAAATCATTAATTTAGTTCTTAAATATAACTTAACTAGTCTTTATAACTTCTATACAATTTAGGGGAGCATTAAAATTTTATTAATAGGCATTATAAAGATTATATTCATTTATAAAAAAGAATATATTCAGTAAAGATAATTCTAATAAAAGTTATATATATATATATATATATATATATATATATCATTTGTTATGTGTAATTATACTTCATTATATTAATTATACTTGTTTATAATTATGTTTGAAATAAAAAAATGGATTTGAACTTGATAATCAAATAAGATATATCAACATATAAAATAAAAATGTATAATCAAAGATAAATTTCCTGGTAGACGATTTTGAGATCCAAATTAAACAAAAAAAAAATACTCTAAAAAAATATAACTTTTTGAAAACTATTTTCATCCTATTTTCTCACAAAAACACTTATATGGGAGATGAGAATTCAACTTTTCTAAATTATAGGAGAAATTTATATATATAAAAAGATCATAATATTTCTTTTTAAAACAAAATATATAATTCTCACTTTCTATCTATTTATCTTTCTCGCTCTCTCTCTTAGATCCTCACTTCCTCTCTCTTTTCCTCTCTCCTTCTCCTTCTCTCTTTGTATCTGTCTCTCTCTCTCTCTCTCTCTCCCTCTCCCTCCCTCTCTCTCTTTTTATTTCTCTTTCTCCCTCCCTCTCTCTCCCTTTCCCCTCTCCCTCTCCATCTCCTTTTTTTTTCTCTCTCTCTCTCCCCCTTCCCCTCTCTCTCCCTCCCATATCTCCAATTCTCTATTTCTCCCTCTTTCTTGTACGTATCTCAATATTTATTGATCTTGTCAATTTTAATAATATTATTAAAATTTATTTTGTTTATACATTTTAATGATATCTGTTAACACCTTTTTTATGTGAATGAAATGAAATAATAAATTTTTATTTTTTAATTATAATGTTTCATTTTTCTTTTTATTCCTTTTTGTTGGATCCTATATTTTAATAGTTTTAATAAATTTTCAACTTTTTAATATATTTTAATGTCATATTTGTAATTAAATTTGAATAAATAAATATATCTAATGAGTTTATTTTAATAAAGATTATTTTTGTAAAAAAAATATTTATATACTTAAGAGTATACAATTGTAACCAAATATGTAAATCTTTAATTGATGGGAATATTATATAAATATTTCCATAAACATTTATGAGTAATTAAACATATTTTAATTATATTCAAAAATCATAATTCGCAGGATTTGTAATTTTTCAGAAATTATGATTATTGAGTATAAAAAACTTTTTCCTACTAAATCTCCCTAAGAGATAACTTTTCTAGTCTTATATATTTCAAAATTTCAATTTAATAATAGATTTTAGATAAAATGATTGTTTAACTTTTTGAAAAAGACAAAATATAATTACAATCAAACCTATATTACCAAAAAATTATTTCATCTAATTACATAAAATAATAGAAAATCTAATTCATAACCATAAACTTCTAAAGTGTTCACTTCTTTTATTATCATTATTGAAGTTTATAACCAAGTTTTGAAGGTTTTTAAAATTTAATAAACTAGAATTAAATAGAAATTTAATTATATAAATTATATTTATATGTCAAGCTAATTCATGAAACAAATGAATTAAACTATATGCAATTCAAATTTGACTCATTTATTTACCAAAATTAATTTTTAGTTCAAGTTCAACTCATTTAATTTAGGAATCAAGTTCAATGAGTTCATTATTGAATCAAATTTTGAAATATTTTCGAATTGTAAGAGGCCCTATTCGTCTCTTAAAAAAAATGCATGTTGTCATTTATAAATTTTCGAATAATTGGAGTCACACTCTATAGTTAAATTTTGAAACACCTATTATAAAATGTTTTAAAAAAATTCAAGTAATTCATTTTCGAAGAATAAGTTATTAAATAAGTAAATTTTATAAAATTAGTAGGTTTACATGAAAATTATAGGAATTTTATTTTCAAAGAATCACTATTTAAGCCTGTCATGGAAATTTTCGTAGTTACTATATTCTATTTTTACTTTGCCGTGACTTTCCTTTGGGTTGCTCGTTATTTAATTTGTTTCTTTTCTTTTGATACTTTGCTTATATTTTTAATTAAGTAATTTTTATATATAAAATGAAAGCTTTAAATATCTACAACTTAATCTTTTATTTATGTTTATTATATTAAAATTACTTTATATAGATTAAACTAGTATTTCTTTTATTTTATATAACTAGAGTTTATAATAAATAAATACTTTTAAACATATAAATTATATAATATTTAAAAATTAATATTGAATAAATATTTTAACATACAAATTATATTTTATTTATAATAAATAATTTATAAGGTAATTAAAAATGTTTTTAATCTTTGATAATTTTATTAATATATGTATATATATATATATATATATATATATATATATATATATTAAATTTTAGTTTAG